CGCCGCCGTCGCTCCCGCCGCCGATGCTCCCGCCGCCGTCGCTCCCGCCGCCGTCGCTTCCGCCGCCTTCTTTGCCCCCGCCTTCGCTCCCGCCGCCGTCGCTCCCGCCGCCCTCTCTTCCCCCGCCTTCTTTGCCCCCGCCGTCGCTCCCCCCGCCGTCGCTCCCTCCGCCCTCTCTTCCCCCGCCTTCTTTGCCGCCGCCGTCGCAGCCGCCTCCGTCGATGCCCCCGCCGTCGATGCCCCCGCCGATGCCCCCCCCGAGGCCCTCCTAGTGACCTCGGGACCATCGAACGTACGTGAGAGTGCCGCGCGACCTGCTGTGCTAGGTTTTCCACTTGCCTCAGGTCCGCTTCGCATTGTGATTCGGGGGAGGATGTAGAGAGGAGGTGTGTGTGTTCAGTGTTCTGTGGCTTGTGCGCGCCTATAGTGCATAGACCAGGAGGCACTGCGCACAGTCACTACACACTCGTGAGCTGTGCTGACTATATATTCTGCTTTCTGGGTGTGCTGACAGTCCTACCCCCATACGCCATAGATGTCTGCTGCGACTCCCCCGTCCCCGCACCCCGGGTCTGCCCTGCTCTCCCCTCTGCTCTCTCCCTCCCCGATTCCACTTTACCGGTTCTCCCTTCTAGCTTTTTTAATCCCTGCACCCTGGCTCCACACATTCACACAAGCTTGAAGATAACGGCGGCCACCCACCCACACGGAGGATGGGAAGCCCCGGGTACTTTTATCTGTACTCGTCTAGGCAGGGAGGATTGGGCCACCCCCCCCTCCCCCCCCTGCGCACACATACACCCCCGCCAAAAAACTTGCGCCCGCCCCCGCCTCCCCCCGCAAAGAACCCTGCACAAAGATAGCTAGCCGAGACGTCAGTTTTTTATTTATTTCCCCCGCCCCACGCCTCCCCGATAACAGGAACCGCCGATATGCCGCTCTTGCAATGCCAAAAAAACTGAAATCAGATTCATGGCCAATTGGGCCGTCGAGGCAGCGCTTAGTTCCGCACGATTGCTCCTAATCGGCTCATATGAGGCAAATTGGAATTGGGTTTTGGTCGCGCCACGGGGACGTACGATTCAGCTACATTGGCGGACGCGCGGACGTTCGCCGCCTATTGGCACGAGCGCCTGAGCAGCGCCGGCGCCGCGTCCGCTGATGGACGTGCCCTCGCCAACGCAACTCCTCGCTGAGGCTGCCGCCTTGGCCCTCCGCAACGAGTCGAGGGAGAGCAGCCCGCATGCTGGCAGCGAATCCGATTCCGAGCTTGGCTCAAACGGCGACCAAGGCGGCTCAACACAATTTGTTCCTCGCAAGCGAAAGCCACCACGGATGGTCGAGAAGGTGGGATGGACGTCGGAGGAGGACAGCGTCATCGAGCGGGCCTACAAGGCCATGGGTCCGCATTGGACTGACATTGCGGAGATGCTCCACGACGAGAGTGGAGAGCGCAGGAGTGGCGACTCGGTGCGCAACCGTTGGCTCCGGCTGCAGAAACGGGCAAAGCTCGCCCGCTCCGAGGACTCGGACTCGTCTCCAGTCGCTGCGAGCGCCGACCTCTCAGCGGGGGGGAGCGGAGAGCGCGGCGGTGACATGTGGTCATGGCGCGAGACCCAGACCATTGAGGAGGGCGTGCGGAAGGGACTCAAGTGGAAGGCCATCGCCGCACTGCTGCCAGGCCGCTCGGACAGCTCGTGCCGCAACCGCTGGCTCCGCAAGAAGCAGAAGGAGCTCGCGATGGCCGGCATCAACGTCCGCAACGCCGCCGAGGTGGTAGCTGCCTGCCGGCGAGTCGGCCTGCTAGGCCCCTACAACCCGCAGGGCGCGGAGGCGAACGGGCCGAACACGTACAATTGCGTGCAGCGCACCTCGAGGCCATCGCAGATCTCGCCCCTCAGCCTGTACAAGGGCCCAACTGCCATCCTAACGTTGCCGTCCGCGCCGACGGCAATGCCCATTGTGCTGCCGGAGGCGCTTTCACTGCCGGTGCAAGGCATGCGCCCAAACGAGCTGCAGGTGCTGCACCCCCATCAGCTCGGGCAGCAGCAGACCGTGCTCTTTCCCGTCGCTGCACCGTCGCCGACCATCCCGGTCCTCTCGCCTCGGGTGTGGGCGGTCCCGCCGTCCGGCTTGTCGCCGACCGCCTGTTTGCCGGGCTGAGGGCAACGCATCCAGGCGACCAGGCGGCCAGAGCCATATGTGCGACGCCTTTCCACCAGCCAAGACTTCAGTATCGCCGTGGCCGTGGGGTCAGGCATAAACGGGCATTATTGTTTGGCAGCCAGAGAGCGCCGAGGGAGGGGGGGGAGTATGGCGGGTCGGTACTCAATGAGTCAACGTGTCAGGCTGAGGCTGCGTGTGAATGTATCTCTCATCGTGCAGCTCATGTCCCAATCGCTCTTGTATCAATCGTTCTCATGTCTCAGCTACAGCTTGTATCTCAAACTTATGTATTGCTCGGTAGCCTTCTTACCCATCTCGTTTACTGGTAAGTGAAAACGGAAAACTCTCTGACATGACCGTATATCCGTCCAGCGCGCATCCCCATCGCCGTAGGTTCCACAGCGCCAAAAACACGGATCCAGCTCTTCAGACACGACTCTCGATGTCGGATGTGGGTCCCGATCAACCCCTCGCCTCGGTGCGTCATCCCCCTGCCTCATACACGCCCCTTGAGCTCCTTGAGCTCTGCCCAGGTGGCCATCAGGTTGGCAAGGTTGTCGCGCTTTTCGCACCGGATTTTGATCTGCTTCTCCTCGCCCCGACGCTCCCCCTCCGCAACAGTGACGTGCAGCTGGATCTCGTAGCGGTTTTTCGAGCAGATCTTGCGGTGCGTGATCTCCGCCTCGTCACAGTAGCCCTCGATGGCGATACGGTCGGCGCGGCGGTATAAGTTATGGGGAAGGTATAGCCCCTTGGACTTGACAAAGATGCGCCGTGGCCTCGGGTCGGGCGGCGACTCCTCGTCCCACCCGACCTGCAACGCCTCTTCGTACAGGCCGGAGGCGACAAAGTAGCGGATCCACAGCTCCCTCCGCTCTGCGTCCGACATGTGCTCTGCACGCGGGTCCGGTGGGTCTTGCATGTCCCAGCCGAGTGCCAACGCGTCGCCGTGCCGGCCCTGTGAAACGTAATACCTGACCCACTGTCGCCTTCGCCCCGCCTCGATGGTGGGGTCTTCGTACGCGCCAGAGTCGAGCAGTCGCGCAGCGTTCGCCCCCTCCCGCTTGCCGGCCGAGTCTCCGAGGGATAAGAGAGCATCGAGCCTCGTCTTCATCCTCGCAAGTGCATTGTTGTCGTAGTCGCCCTTTGGGCTCAGGCGCATGCCCGTGGGGCTGTCGTCCCGCGGCATGGATTGGCCGGCGTCGGTGTGCTTCTCCTCGCCCGGCGCGCCTCCGAACCCGAGCCCCGAAAACAGGGGCGAGACCGGGCCGGGGGTTGGCATCGTGTTTGTGTCGGCGCCCGCAATTCCGGTAACCGCCGGGGAGGGGAGCCGGGGCGCGTCGGGGCATGGGTGTGTTTGTCTTTGTTGTTGAAGGTATGTTGTTGGCAAAGGAAGACACATTTGTCTTTGTTGTTGGGCATGTTGTTGGCAATTGACAGCCATAGCTCACACAAAGAAGGAGGAACCGAACGAGTTACATAAAATTAATTTCCTTTACGCTCCCACCACAACCTCCCCTGCCGCAGTTTTTTTTTCGTCCCCGCGCGCATGGTCGCGGCCGGCTCCAAGCTCGGCGAGTCCGAAGTGTCGCGCGTCGTCGCCTCGGTGGGCGAGGTGATCAAGAGCGGCCGCACACTGCTCGGTACCCCCCCTGCACAACTAAGCTCATCCCTGCTGCTGGGGGGGGTCTGACCCCCCCAGCAGCAGAGCGCTGCTGCTGGGGGGGGGGGACCCCCCCCAGCAGCAGGGATGAGCTTAGTTGTGCAGGGGGGGTACCGAGCAGTGTGCGGCCGCTCAAACACGGGTCTCCCCGAGGGTTAGTCCGCGCTTCTCGGGTTTCCCCTAGCGGCGGAGCGCCCCCTCTACTCGGAGCTAAGAAACACTCTCAGCGTCGCGTAGAAATTTTTCCTCGGGGTTTGTGGTAAAATTCTTTTTGAGCTAGCCTTCGATGTTATGAAACAAACGCAAGGCGGACACACACACATGCGACATGGCACATCACTGCTCTCGGGCCCACGACCCAACCACTCCGGCTCCCGACCGCGCGGCGAGCAAGAGGAAGAGCAGGCGCGTGAGCCCAAATTTTACTATAGAAATCATTTCCCCTCGCGTTACACAATCTTGATTTT